TCCAGGTGCAAAAGCAGTGGTTATAGGCTGAGCACATGGACCAGTGGTAGAGCGTTTGCCTAGCATGCACAAGGCCCTGGGTTCAATCCCCAGTACTGCAGAAAAGAAAACACAAAAGCAATGCCTGTATCTTTCCCTTTCTAAAGCTCTTGACCTGGAGCGGTGACTGATGAGACAGGATCAGACAATTTGATAACACAAGAATGAGATAAAATGTTATTGGTCAATATAAGAGACCAGAAGTCCAGTTGAAACAAGAGAGCTTCAGAAGCCAGTCAGATCATCATGCAAGAGTCCCAGTAGCAGGATCCTGAAAAAGATATCTGGAACACAGACCAGAGAAGAGAGAAGATAAGAACAGAAATAGTGGGTTGAATGAATGAGAAAGCTGAGTGCATTTCACCAACAGCTGATTAACTTCTCTTTTTTGAATGCTTACAGGTGACTAGGCTGTGTTTACCTGTATTTGGAGTTAATGGTATATTTTTTGCAAGGTGAAAATAATGATTTGGCTTAATTAATGCAATGTTTTACCATAAACAAAACAAGATCTACTGACGATATCGTTACCAAACCCAATACCCTGATGTTTTTCTGGGCACAGTTTTATGGTCCCAATGCGGGGTGAACATGGGACAATGACCTGCCCCTGAGAAGACTGGAGCATGGAGTGCTGTGATAACACTGGAAAAGCATGGAAACACACACACAAGTGTTGTGTCAAAAGGTCCTGCAAAGCAGCATCTCCTGCTGTTCTTCTAGCATACAAGGCCGTAAGGAGTTATGAGATCAGCTATCATATATCATGTTACAAGAGGTAGGTGAACTGTCTAATCACAAGCTGACATTTATTTTTAATAACTTGATTTATAGGAAAGGTTTAATTGATCCAGCAGTTCTTCCCCTCACTGTCCCCTCAGTGTTCCGTAAAATTATAAGCAAGGACCATATCATACCTTTCTTGGGTCCAACATCTGCTACAGGACCCTTTAGGGCGTATATTTGCCGGATGACTGAAAGTGTTCAGAAGCTATGTTATGGATCATTTTCTTTAAAATTTTATAGTACAAAATCTCTATAAATATTTGAAATCAGATTGAACAACTTCGTATTTTCTCTGAAAATGTATTAGCCCAGTATTTAATGATATTGTTATGGTCTTTGTCTGAATGACCAAAGAAAGTCTCATGAATTTACAGGTGGGGCTTTCAGAAGGTGATTGGATGACAAGGGCTATACCTTCATCAGCGGATTTGACAGCATTATTCCGAAGCAATGGCAATTTAAGAGGTGGGCCCTTATTGGAAGGAATGGGATGTGTAGACCTTACATTGGAGACTATATCCGGTCCCTGTTCCTTTCCTCTCAGACTATTTGCCTCTCAATCCACTTCCTGTCTGCCAGGAAGTGAGCAGCTCTGTCACACCCCTTTACCAATTTCTACCTTTGGAACCAGCCCATCATACAGCTCTTTAAAACTATTAACCAAAAGAACCCTCTCCTCCCTGAAGTTGTAGATATGTCTGGTATTTTGTCCCAGCAACAGAAAGGTGAATACAAATGAACACAAATATACTAGAATATGTTGTCTTTTTAAATAACTGAAAACCAAGAATTCCATGCACTGCTTATTCCAATCATATTCTTACCCAGTGTAATCTGAAGTTGGTTTTAAGTAAGACCCTTAATGTCTAACCCTATTAAAATTTGCAAACACTGCTTGCCTAAAGCAGGCAGAATCTTAATTTGAATTTTAAGTGGAAAGTTAATTGTTTTGTAAATTAATCAGTAACATGGCTTAGCTCTATTTGCCTGGTTAATTACTTTTCCCTGTCCTGTTAACTCCAACTTTACAAGAGAAAGTCATTTCTTATGCCCCCATATTCAGTGTTTACTCATAAGGACCGCATGTGCTTGTGTTCATGTTCCCACGTGCGGCTTTTTCACTCATTAACGTGTCTGATGATCTCATGTTGAGCAATGGATTTCGGTACAGGCAATGGATCTATCTTATTTTCCTTTATCCATGTCAAAATGCTACTGAAAACTCACAAAGTGAAAAGTACTGTTTCAGATGACTGTGTCCTATCTACCAAACCTTAAATGTTAGTAGAGATAAAGCTATAAAGTGATGCAAACAGCTGGTTAGGTTTGAAGTCTGTCTATCTATCAAGTGCTGGGGAACATGATGGGTCAGGAAATTGGCCTAAGGTTTCCGAGAGACTGGAGTTCTAGAATTGACCTCTCTACTTATAAATTGTGAGAAGCAAGTCAAGTATGTAAACTTTCTAAATCTCAACTACCTTCTACTGCTTCAATCAGATGGTTGGGAGTCTCAAATCATATCAATAATTAATTATAGTAGTATCTAAAAATCATAATTATAAGTAAAAAATATTGAGCAGTTCTTAGTATTTTCTTCCTTTTCATAATTAATGTAATTTAAACTTGCTGTGAATTACTGCAGATTCAAAATAAAATTGTGGGAAGTGAACTTCATCGGCCTTTGTCCTTAGGTGGTGTTACCATTTCAAATACTATTTAATGGCGCTGTCTGGCCAGAAACTTCTGTTACAGATACTGTTTTTTTCTTCACTGAAAGTTGTACAGCAGAAAGGAATATTACAGGAGATTAGGACATCTTTAAAATTAGTTTTTGAAGCAAGTCCAAATATCACAGTGGGATACTGTTTTATGGAATATGAAAGTGCTACTATTTTGATCCTTGGTCAAAGGTAGAAAGAACAATTGTAAAAAGAACAATTTTGCTGAATGAACAGTAAAAATGGCATTGTAGTTCCATTGGTGACTAAATTCCTTTAAAACATAAATTTTTCTAGTATGTGGAAGGAACTCATACACAAATCCCTTCACTTTACCGTACGGAACTTGTTTAAGACTTATTTTAACAAAATATGTGTTCTGTGGTGGTCAGTGATCCACAGCATAATTAGAAAACTATCAAGACAGAACAAGAACAGGAGGTAATGAGCGAGGGTGCCTATGGTAACTCCAGGATGCGAGTCTTAAATTCTAAATGAGGGGGAACTATGGTGTGGTCCACACAATTTCCATAATTTAAACCCCTCTGAATAGTGTCTAAGAAATATGTTTCAAACACAGTGAATTAGAAATTTAAAATAAAAGCGTATAAATTACTTATAAAAATGAATTGGATAAGAAAAAAATGAGCAAATTTTGTTTCTTTTTTAACTTTAATCCTCCCTGTTTGAGGAGGTATAGTAGCCCATAAAGGAAAGAATATGGGGGCTGCAGATTTAGCTCAGTGGCGCAGTGCCTGCCCATAAATTCAATCCCTGGTGGAAAAAAAAAAAAATGAAAGAATATGGGTTTCATGTTTCAGTTCTATAGGTTCAACAACCAAAATCTAGGTGATTTTAAAAATTCGATCTCTCTTGAGTTTTAATTTATTCATTTATGTAAGGAAGTTACTGTCCTCTGCTGGCTTGGAATGTTTTAAAAATATGATACACTGATATTAGGAATTTATCCCATGAGGAATTTTCTATAATCTATAGCTACTGTTATGATCAGCAAATTGTACTTCCTTTAAAATTTTCCCCAAATCATTAGGATTAGGGTGTTTTACATCAATTCAATTTCTATAAATTACTCATTAATTTAGACCAAAAAAATCCCACCATAGATATCTTCCTTTTTTCAATTATTTCCTCGGATTTTCAGTCCTTTAGTGGAGATATCAAAAATGCACACACAGTAAACCCTCTAGACCAGTCTTGCAGAACATATAAAACTTCATCGTGTTCTCAGATTTTAATTTCCATAAAGTAAAGCTAAGAACACCTTCAGTAGTCACTGTTCCCAATGACTATGTTTTAGTAAACTTCACTAGCTTTTTTGTTTTTAATCTTGGGGAAAAGAGCTCCAATTTCTAATGTGGGAGAGCTCCTGAGGCAGTAAGAGTAGATGTTTCAGAATTAGGCAAATTTAACTGCTTAGATCTCTGAAGATGTGAGTGCTGTGGACCGCATGTTTGTATCTTGAAAATTCCTGCATTGAAACTCACATTCCCAGTGCTTGGTATTTGGGAGTCAGGCTTTGGTGAGGTAATTAGGTTCACGAGAGGCCACAGTCATGGAGCTCCCATGATGACTTAGTACTGCTAGGAGAAGACAGAGACTAGAGTTTAGTTTCTCTCCCTGCCATATGACAAGACAACAGAAAGACAACCATGTGGTAATTAAGAAGCAGGCCCTCTGTAGAACTCAATCTTTCTGATATCTCGATTTCAGACTTCTAAGTCTCCACATCAAAATCATGAGAAATGAATTTCTGCCATTTAAGTTAACCCATCTGTAGTAATTTAAGAAATCAGCCCAAATAGACTAACAAACTGAAAATTCCTACACAGGAAAGAGCTGTTTAGTTTTGTTTTGCTTCGATGAACCAGAGATTCAGTCCAAGATCTTTGCACTAACTATATCCCTAGTCCTTTTTTATTTATTTACTTATTTTCTTTTTTAATTTTGTGACAGGGTCTTGTTAATTTGCTAAATTGCCCAAGTTGGGCTCAAACTTGCAATCCTCCTGTCTGAAAGTCCACATTGCTGGGATTACTGGTGTGTACCACCATTCCTGATTTGGGAAAGTGTTCATTTCAAGTGAACAAACTGAAAATAGTTCACAGAGAAGTAGCAGAAAAGGTGGTCTGTTAATAAATGCAAAGCATTTTGCGAGCTGGAGACAATAAACCGCTGTTTATGAAGGATTAGTAACAGGATAGCGGATCAGTTGGGAATGTAGCAATATACATGATTTTAGGAACAACAACAAAATTCTTCTATTAACCCACAAGACTGAAGGCCTAGCAAGAAACCCAATAATCAATCAATCAGTGTCAACACTTGGGGTGGAGACAGGACCGCAACCCCATGAAACGGACCACCAACCCCAGATTCACACGTCTTGGCTCTGAACGCTCCGCCCCTGGAGTGGCTCCTCCCCCAGAGTAGCTTTGTACTGCTTCTTGCAAATACCAGTGATAAAATTACTTCTTCTTTGGAATGGTCTGCTCTGATTCCTCTTCTGTTTTCTACATCGGAGAGCGACACAGGCCTGGTGAGGGTGAGTCTGTGGACCCCTAGACCCCAAATCACTAGAAATAACACAGGGAAAAAAGAGACCGTCAGGGAGGAAGTTCAATGGGTGACTGAAAGCATTGCTTCTTTCTGGGGTTCTTGGTAGTATATTGATTCTTCATAGAAATGAGAGTAAAAATTATAGAATTATCCTCATAGGTTGCTTTGTAGTTCTAAAGGAAAGAACCATAAAAATATTTTAATCTGCCAAACCTCTTATTACTGCTACCTGAATTTTATAGCCAAGTTAATCATCTCAGGACAGAAAAGTAGCTTAACAATTTACTCTCTTATCTTTGAATTTGTCTCTGGTAAACTTTATATTGCCATTTTTCCCCTGCCTATTTCATTTCTATGATCTTTAGGGCATGGTTATTTCAAAATATCATGGGATTAACTAGACCATTGTGTGTCTGATGAGGATGCCCTAGGTTATTTCTTACTAGGGCAGTTAAGTCTACAATTATTCTAATGTGAACCTAGCATTACTTCTGACACAGATCCTAATCTTTTGACTAGGAGAATTTCAACAGCAGAGTACTTTATATTTTTGAGGTGATGACAATATTTTCTGCATGGAATAAATTCCTTTCAAAGCTCAGTGCTTATGGAAAGCAAAATGAGGTTGCATACAAACCCACTAAATATTTTGAGAGGCAGCTCCACAAAAGGCCAAGGTGTTCAGATTTATGGACACCTGTTTTGGTCCCATTTTCATACAGATATTCAGTAATCTTTAAACAGAGTTCTTAGGAGATCTGTCACCTGGGGATTTAGAAGAGAAATTTTGATAGGTTAATATATTTCCTTACATCCCTAAAATATATCTACCGTACCAACTGTTATCTCATTCTCTTTTCATTTTTCAAATTATGCTGGCTATTCCCTTTTGTAAGATTGGCTAAAAAAAAAAAAAAAACTTAAATTGCCTGTAGTTTTGTTCTCAACTCTCCTTTTGAAGATCACAGAATAATTTTCTGTAGATTACTCCCACCGCTGCCAAAAATCTGTAACTGATACAAATCTGGTGAAAAAAATGCTAAATATCTTCTGCATCAGGATAAGGTACACCCAGAAACTTAGCTCTTACTAGGTCAATAAAAGAGGTTACAAGAAAGGTGAAGCTTTACTGTATTCACTTTTTAAAAGATTTAGTGAAATAAAATGATAACAACTTGATCTTGAATGTATACTATTTTTGTTTGGGGTTTATTTATTTATACTTGTTTGGAAGACTTTGGCCTCTTTGTCTTTTCCTCTGCACTATGTACAGTCTTTGTTTCAGTTATCTCTATAAATCTTTCAGAGTTTTGGACCATTAAACTCTGAAAGTATAATAAGTAGTCAGAAAACATTCTGTCCCACACGTGTATTTGGATCTAAGGTAGTGCTAGTAGGAAGCAAAGAGAACTAAAATCTTATACAAAAAGATTGTCATCAAGTTCAGGTGAATGGAGATTAAGGTACACTTGAAGTTCAGAAAGACAGCATAGAGAGCCCATGATAATCTCCATAAGAAAACTGCTAGTGGGGTTTTCCCCAAACATTGTTCATGTCCATTTTAGTATCACTGTGCTCATCATTATTGTGAGAAAACATCTTTCAAATGAGCTTGCATTTAGGGTGTTCTGGGTCCTCCAAGAAACAGTATTATAGCTCAAAAGGCAAGTGTTTTTTTTGTTTGTTTGTTTGTTTGTTTTTTGCTTCCTAATACAACTAAATTCAATGAACATAGATGCCTTGTCCTGTGAGCATTCCACTTAAAAATATTTGCTAAGACCTAGAATTTTATACCATCTGCAAAATTCTAGTTCCTTCAGGCAAGGAAAACAAAGTAGCAAGGATTGAGCCTAAAAGTAAACTACCTGGTTAGCTAAACCACCTCATTCGGTGCTGCAGTGCTTGCTACCTAGATAAATCAGCTGGCCTTTTTCATTTTTTCATCTTTTTCTCTGGTAAATCTTGATTATCAGAAAAATACCAACAAGTAATTTTCCTGGCTTAGAAGAAACCACTCTGTGTTTTGTGCCAAGGAGGAAGACAACCTGGGTATTTAATTACTTTAGGCTTGCTTTGGTTTGGGGCGCAATCTGTTGCCTGATCTCACTCCAGTAGAGCTTGCTTTGAAGTTGCGGACAAATTAAATCAACCCCTTGGATCACATGCGTACGAAAGAATGTGGTTTCCCAGGTATGAACAATCTATCAGTCCCCCTCCTCTTCTTTCTCTTTGGCACTTTAACAGTCCTTGCAGATTCTTTGACAGATACTTGATTTTTATACCTCAGTCAAAGCAGCTTTTACTAAGAGTTTTAGAATTATGTGTATAAGGTGCACTTTTAGTGGTGCCAGAGACTGGCTCACTCCAGGATGATTGTGCAAGCATTCATAATTATGACTATAGGTAAACATACTTCTGTCTCCTTGGAAAATTGAGAAGTACAAAGAATGTTTATGTGTCTTGCTTGGGCTTGGACACACCTGAGTTACCCTCCCCCTCTTAGTGGCCAAGAAAGTTGTCATACCTGATTTGCAAGTTTACCTGTTGGAGTCAATAGAAGGGGTACCTCATCAGCCAGTGCTGGATTTTACCTAGCTGAAAGCAAGACAGATTTCACTTGGAGATACTAAAGGAAAACTGTTCTCTCTGCAGCATAAAGAACTTTGCCTCTGAGCAGCGCTGCCACCTCAGGATTCCACTTGGATAAAACACTTCCAAGAAGAAAATGGCCTCATATGCTCTGCAAATAGCTGGCTTGGTGTTTAGTGGTATTGGTATGGTAGGTACAGTGGCGGTCACCATCATGCCTCAGTGGAGAGTGTCGGCCTTCATCGGAAGCAACATCGTGGTGTTTGAAAACATCTGGGAAGGACTATGGATGAATTGCATAAGACACGCTAACATCAGAATGCAGTGCAAAGTCTATGACTCTCTGCTGGCTCTTTCTCCGGACCTACAGGCAGCCAGAGGGCTGATGTGTGCTGCTTCTGTGCTTTCCCTCTTGGCTTTCATGACAGCCATCCTTGGCATGAAGTGCACCAGACTCACTGGGGATGATGAAAACGTGAAGAGTCGCATCCTGCTGACGGCTGGAATTCTCTTCATCATTACAGGCATCGTGGTGCTCATCCCTGTGTCCTGGGTTGCTAATTCCATCATCCAAAACTTCTACAATCCAGTAGTGGATCCTGGCCAGAAACGTGAGCTTGGAGAAGCCCTCTACATAGGCTGGACCACAGCACTGGTGCTGATTGCTGCAGGGGCACTGTTCTCTTGTGTTTTCTGTTGCACCGAAAAGAGCAATAGTTACAGATATTCAGTACCATCTCATCGAACAACTCAGAGAAGTTTTCACGTGGGAAAGAAGTCACCGAGCATATATTCCAAAAGTCAGTATGTGTAGTTGTCTGTATTTCTTAACTTAATGTATGAAACCATACAAATGACTAAAATGTCCACTGCTTTCTACAAGTAGGACTCAAAGGAGTGTTACTTGGGCATCCTTAACTGCCTAACGTTAATTACAGGAACTGTGCACCATCTATTTATGACTTTATGAACTGTTTCAGCAGAATGAGATACTATACACCCTGCTTTGATTGTTCTTGGAAATATGGTGATTTATTTTCTTAAATGGTCTATGCACCTATTCCTTGTATTAGTTACTTCAAAATGATTTTGCTTAAGACTGTTATTTTACAACTGTGATTTCTGTGCTGTAGCATTATGCATGTAGATGATCATGACGTTTATATCTCCCAGAAATAGAGACAAGCTTATATGGTTTGATTTTAAATGAAATACTGATCCATTACACTAAGTAAATAGAAATCAACTATTGCTTTTCAAGGGACCCAGGGTTTGGGTTGAAGAAGGGTGATATTAATTGTTTAAAAACAGCTTAGGGATTAATGCACTCGTTTATAATGAAGGTTAGAATGAAAGCTTTTATCAGCAGTATAAAGGAAACTAAATGACTTTCTGATACCTTTTTTTTTCAGCTGAGAAGTTAGAAATTCTAACTCCTTTATCCTCTTTCCAAAGACATTTTTGTTTCTTGTATATTTAATTAACATCTTTTTTAAAAAGCAGATATTTCCTGAAAAGGCATTATATTCAAGCTACTTTTCCTGGGCTATCCTAAGAAAGAGAATAAAACTATGGTCTAAGATAAATTAGCAATTTGAGGAAACTTAATTTATTATTTTTTTTGTAACTGTAGAAGGGCTCATTTTGACAAAAGAAATCATACTTGTATGGGAATATTTCAATAAATATTTGAGTGAGGTCTTTGGGATTTTACCAATACAAATGAAAGACTCTAACTAATTTTATTTGTTTTTTATTTTCTTACAAAAAATGTATACTCTGAAAATTTCAACTGCTCCTATACAGATATGTAAATCAAGGTTGTTATGTTGGCTCTTTCATAGATACCTTTCTTTATTTGTTCAGATTTTATTGAGTTTTGATTAAGTGTGGAAATACCATTTGTGTTTTCCCCAAAGCTGATGTGATTGATCATCCAGTTCAGAAATTTGTATCTACATTTGTCCACTTAAAGGACTACTTGTGCTAATTGCTTTATGTGTTTTGTATTAATAAATTATACCTTTTCATAAGTATATAACATTCTTTCATTATTCCTTTCGTGTTTTATTAATTTTGCAACAGCATTTCTAAAAGCTGCAGTTTTCATTTTTTGCATTTTTAAAAAGATCTCCAAGGACTCATTTTAATGATAGTTTCTGTATTAATTGAAAATATAATGTGTAATATGTCATTTAATAACAATTAATCATAAATTTTATGTAAGTGCACTAATATTTGTAGGAGATAATTTATAACTTTTTAAGAATACTATAGATAAAATATCTACTTATTATAAATATTATGTGTGTAATAACCATGTTTTAAGTTTTCCACAGCTACATATATATTTCAGACTCTGAGAAATCATATGGATTAATAATAATGGCTCACATTGAGGACGCACATAGTATACACCAAAACTTTCACTGATTTTCATATACATTATATCATTAAAACATTTGTGAGCTTGATAGTGCCTTTATTTCACAAGTGGTAATATCCCCCAAAAGTTAATTGATTTTACTTAATAGAATCAGGAGAAAAAATAAGATTGATTGATTTTATAGCTCAAGATCTCTTTCACTCTGGACAAAGTAGATATTTTTCTAGCTCTTTTAAGTTTATCAACTGATCTTTCTATGTGAAAACAACGTACTTACCTACCGTTAGTTGGGAAAATACTTTGTTTGTTTTTTTTCTGTAGGAATGATTTCCCTATTTCTCAGTGCTAATCCATTGGAGGCAAGGCTCTTTGGGTCAAAATATTCATAAGAGCAGAAGTAAAGCAAAATTAATGAATTGCCTTGGAGAGAAAATCCAGGGACACAATCTTCTAAGTACCACTCTTTAATCAGCCCTCCCTTTTAAGTACAAAATTCTCCTAAATATCCCAAATTCAATTTATTTTTTTCCTCTTTTCCTTGAAGGAGAAACATGTAATTTCTGAATTTCCTGGTGACATTGGGGTTTTTTTTGTAGCTCTGAAATTGTTTCACATCTTTTCACTTTTAGTATCATCTCATCTCTTCCCTGTGGAGTTTAAATGACTTCTGTTCTTCTTTCTTGCAGAATATTCTTTCTCTAGCTGTGCTCCATGCTTTACTTCAGCTCTTAACATCCACGTTAGTTCCCAACATTCTTTGTCATGATTTTGTAAAACTGCCCAAGTGCCCATAGTGTAGAATCCAACTGCTTTAGTGTACGATGACTGACATGATGGAAAATGTAGCTTATAATCTCTGAGACAAATTTTATCAGATAGGATAGCATATAGCGTATAACAAGTATAGAAACAATTATAAGGTTGTTGTCTAATAACTGACATTCCCAAAGCTTGCTTGCTTTATTTATTTATTTATTTATTTATTTATTTATTTATTTTGGTACCAGAAATTGAACTCAGGACCTTGAACTTGCCAGGTAGGTACTTGTACCACTGAGCTATATCCCAGGTGTTTCTTTAAAATTCTGAAAAAGAGACCACTGAGAATTTCGCCGTGGTTCAGTTGTCATTGTTATGTACAAAAATACATCTGACTGTGTGGTTTAAAACCCACAATATTATGTAATGGAATGAACACCAAGAAGCAGAAGAAAATTTTTAAATCCTCTCCTAATGGTAGATTTTATGACTGTGGGCAAATTTTAGAATAGAATGTATCTCAATGTCCTTTTCTATTATTTTCGAATTAGCAGAGCAGATCAGCACTCTGCTTTTATTTCTTTTTTTTTTTTTAATTTTTAAATTTTTTTTCCGGTACTGGGAATTGAACTCACGACCTCATGCTTGTCAGGCAGGCTCTGTGCTGCTGAGCTCAATCCTTAGCCCCTAGCAGTTTGAATTTAAGAAAGCCCTTTACCCTCCTCTATCCTGGATCCCCGAATTTTATAATGAAAATAATAAAAGTTGCTATAGGAGAAAATTATATAAGCTCTGAAGAAGCCACCTTAATGCAAAAGCCAGTAAGTGCCTCTCATCTTATAATATGCTGTCTTAAAATTACTTAGGATTGAATGTAAAATTCACATATGAATGAATTAATCAAAAATATGAAATAAAATTTTAGATCGTAATTTTTTATTAGATATTATGAATCTTGTCAAGGTTATGAATCCCATCAACAGGTTATTTTATGGACATGTATCTCTGGGAAATGGATCTTCTGCTAAATTATGAAGAGTACAGATTCATTTTTATAATTTTTCAATTGCTATCAAAGGGAAAAAAATTAATATGAATGTATGCTTCACATAGTAAGATTTAGACTGCTACCTTAGGATGCACACTAAAAGTATTTCCATTTATTTTTCAAATCTTTGACTTCTCCTATGATTTGTACCACACTAATTTGCAGATATTGTGGAAATTTTTCTGCTCTAGGGTTCTTCACTTCTGAATGAACTTCTAAGAGTTTGATCCAGAAGTTCGGCTTTTACATAGTACTGAATGCATTTCTTCATTGATTACTCAAAATAGACTAAACCTCAGTATATTGAAATCCCATTAAAATACTTAAAAGGAAATATGATGATTGCTCAAGCTGTTAGGTTTTTATAGTTATTTATTTTCACATAAAATTACTGTTCGGTATCTTTCACGTTTTCTAAAATATTTTAACCCTCCCAAAATATTCATATCTCAGCTAAACTTAACAGTGTCTCAATCAGAAGAAGTATGCTGGGAGGAACAGGAACCCAATATGGAACCAGAGAGCTGTGCTCTGATACTGGATTTGCCACTTAGAGCTGTGGGTCTTAGGCAAATTATTTAACCTGTTTTTGCCTCGCGGTCCTTATTTGTACAATGAGGATTGTAATCATGCATGAATCCTAGGGTCACTGTCAAGATTAACAAAGTTAATACACATAAGTCCTTAGCACAATATGGGGTATGTTATGAATTCTGTATCAGCCTTGGTAATTAGATCCACTTTTTCTACCAAAACAGACTGTTAGTCACCTAAGTTCTGTGCTCTGATGATGAGTTTCTTTCTATTGATTCTTTGCCTAAAATGAGTCCCTCACACACTGTGAAAAGCTACTAAGCTACTTTGAGGTAAGTGCTAAAGAATAAGAGTGGATAAAATATAATTTTTGCCTTCAGAGAACTTGCAGTCAATAGGAAAAGAGTGAAAATGTAGATTTTTATATCGTTTAGCATGTGCTTGCAGTTTTCCTTTTTTCTGTCATTGATCTATTTATTAATAAACATTATATTATGAGAACTTTGCATCCCAAACCACATATACATTAGATATATGTACACAATAAAATTAAATATATTAATACATCATTTATATATTCATATGCATTATATTACTGTTTGACATTAAAGTGCAATCTTTGTATTTATTAACTGGTTCCAGGAGGTGTGATAGTTACCAAAAACATCGAGTATGAAATAAATTTTTTGAACTGGGAAGGAGGGAAATCAGGAAGCAAACCATATCCGACAAGTTCTAGCTTGCACACTTAGTGTCACAGAAAGGACAAGTGCCAGGACAAAATTTTCAGGTCAAAACACCACACATACCAAATGCAACAAATTTCAAAGCAATTGAGTAGCAAGATCAGACTGCACCGTGTATGAGAACACATAGAATTAGAAGACATATTAGAATTCTTCAATTAGAAGCCATATTAATTCAAGAGCCTCAGTCCTTCACACTGCTGTCCAAAGGCTCCCCTTCTGCATATCTCCCTTCTGGCCCATCATCACCCCATCATTACCACGAAAACCCACGAGGGGCAGGGCACTACTCTATGCCTGGCTTCCCTGTGACTCTGATTGCAAGACCTTTGCCCCTGAGCCCTACACTGACTTTATCATTAGTTTTTGCTGCTATCATTAGCTTTTAACCCCTCTTCCTTCTCTCCCAACCTCTAGGTAATTTACTGTTATGTTTCTGACACGTATTATGTTTCTCCTTGAACGACATTTTATTTTTTAAGACACTTATCATAAGCCTTCTGTTGTAAATTCACAAATTCTCCTTCCTTATCCTGAGCAGAAATCCTAGGGCTGCTTGAACAGTATCCCTCCAATGTCCTTTCTCCCAAATCTGATCCAACAGCTGAAGCAAACACTGGGGCTGGGTCCTGGCCAACAGGCAGAGCCTGGGGCCTTCTGAGAAGATTCAGGCTGTGCAGCATTCCAGGAGGCAAGAGCAGCGTGTTGTTCAGCTCAGAGTACATTGAGAAGCAAGTGTTCCTGGTGGAGAGACCCAGGCCAAATGCAAAGCTCTACTGGCCATGAGTGGGGGAAGGAAAACTTGGGCTCACCTACTTGACAAGCAGTCATGAAAGAAGATATACTTGTCAACTTGTGTGGTCGTAGTGAGATAATCTTGGAGGCATAGAGGCATAGGAAACTCTTGCATAGGTGTTTGTCCTTGTCTGAGCCTCAGAGTACTCTAAACTCAGGAATAAGGGCACCAAAAAAACTGGGAGCCTAAGGGTGATTCAAGACTCCAGTTTAGAGATGATAGTAACTTTCTGGTCACTACATCATCAATGATATTTAAAATTCCCACAGCCCCAGTGATGTTCACTTTTAAGCACAATAACTTGACTTCTACAAGGGAAATGATCTCATAATCATGTAACAGAATAACAAACATTTGAGTAACATATGAGAATACTAAGCAGAACTCAACAATCACAAAAGGAAAAAGCTTACTGGATATTAATAACAGGTAACATTTAAAGGAAGAGATCCTCTAGGACAGAGAAAGGACATTTATTTTTGTAGTGCTAAGTACAGAACCCAGGGCTTCACACAAAAATCTTCTTTAATGAGGAAATAAATAATATAGAAAAGCCTAAAGCAAGTTGAGTAATGGGATTTTTAAGTCTTATAATTAAACCAACTTCTTGTCATATTTGAAAGTCTTCAAGGAATTGAGAGTTGAGGAAGGTCACCCTTGTAGTTAAAAAAAGGGTGTTTGAGAGGTCAAGTAAAATAAATGCTCACAACAGAAAGAAAATATAATTTAAAGAGAAAAATAGAAGGAAGTTAGTGTAGAAACCCAAGAA